GTACCGTGAGCAGGAGTTGGGAGTAATGAAGAACCAGCTCCGTGGAGCGCTTAGGAGCTCAGCAGAGCGTGGTGATTTAGATCGGGGGCTCAGGGTGGCGTCACAGAGAATGCCCCTTGTTCAGCTGCCACACTGCTAACCTGCGCAGTACATGGAAACGCTGCAAGGCGTTCAGCTCCGATAAGGCAGAAGACCCGGGGCTACTTGGTAGACGGAAAACTATGTTATGGCTGAATGCCTGCCCGTCACACAGAATGTGGGGCCCCTTGCAGCTTATCGCCATGGAGGACTCGAGATGAGTGGGAATCTCAGTGCCTCATCCCACTCTTCAGTTGCACACCGTAGAGAGTGGAAACATAGCTTTTGGTGAAGAAAGATGAAGGGTAGTTACTTGCAAAGGGCTTACCCTCGGTGTCTCTGGGTAAGAGGCCAATACTTAGGTTTTGGTAAAGACAGTATTTGTAGGGGCTGATTCTGGACCAAGCCCATAAAACAACATGTTAGGAACAGCTGGTACTTTCCTGAGCTGTCTTCTGGGCCAAGCATTGTTCTCAGAGTTTTGCTATATTAACTTATTAATCCTCACAGCAAGGTAAGTAGCCTGGTACCCATTCTGCAGGTGGGAACATAAGCACGCAGAGGTAAATGAAAGCATTGGGATGCACATCCGGGAGCCTGGGCTTCCACATCCATGCTCTCCATCACTGTGTCTACCACTCTCTTCACAAACGTTACCTCAAACCCATAAAACAACCTGACTGGAAGGTAGCTCTGTCCCTGTGTCACAGATGACAGAACCCCTACTCAAAGCCTCTGAAACAAGGAAGGGGCTCAAACAGGGTTGGACACCAGGAGTTTGGCCCATCTTTCCACTAAGCTCCCGTGCTTGATGGATTTCCTAGGCGAGCACCTTGAATCTACGTGAATGTTTGACAAGTAAGGAAGAAAATGCCATTCTTTTAAAGGTCTAAATACTGACCAGATAATAGCAGTGGCAATCCACCAGTGAAAGGGTTTGCAAGCCCTCTGTGTGCCCACCTTCTGATGGGAAAGGCAATCAAGCACTAAGACCAACCTGCAAGAAATAACCGGAAAGAATGTTTTCCGTTAAACTGGCTTTAGCTGCCTGCAGCCTTGGTCCTGAGAAGAGAGAAAAGAAAGCCGGGCAGAGTGGTCCCGGGAGGTTCCCCGACAGAGGTGGGAGTCAGGCAGAGCTGCGAGCGGCAGCACAGTTTGGATAGAGCTGAAGAAAGCAGGCTTGGAGAAGGAGAGGGCGGCGGAGTAGGGAAAGCCCAGGGACCCGGCCAAGCTCCCCGTGTGGGGGCACCGTGGGGACACTGGGCCCGTGTCTGTGCTGGTGAGTCTGGGCGGTGAAGCTGGGGCCTGGGCAGGACAGCAGCCTGTGAACCTGGGTGAGGGCCACTAGGGCAGAGAGTGTGTTCGCCGACACGAGGGGAAAGTTAGTGTGTCAGCACAGAAGCTGTCCCCAGAGTGGCCGGCACACACAGGGCGACCTGGACATGTCCCTCCCTCTTCTCTGGGGTCCCCCACAGCTTAGTAAGTAAGGGGACTGACTACTGAGTCTCCCGTTTGCGTATTTCCTAGAGAAACGAGGGAGACCTCTTCCACCGGCTGTGGCACATCATGAATGAAATCCTGGACCTGCGCCGGCAGGTGCTGGTGGGCCACCTGACCCACGACCGGATGAAGGACGTGAAACGCCACATCACCGCCCGCCTCGACTGGGGCAATGAGTGAGTGCCACCGCGGGGGCCGTCTCTAGGGGCTGCACGTGGCAGAGGCGACACAGGCAAGACCAGTAGGTGGTGTCATCTCCAGAAGACACCGTATGGGGCGTTTCCAGTTGTCCTCTTTTGGGGGTTCAGTACAAACCGTCATTGATGGAGCCGAGCACCCCCTCCCCTGGGGCTGGTGTGTCCCCGGGTGGTGTTTGCTTGCTAGTGTCCTATGGCCTGATGTGTGCATGTGCTCACAGGACATGAAGTGGTCACAGGCGGCATCAGCTAGACGTGGCTTCTGCTAAAACAGGTCCTGCTTTCAAACAGGCATCAGCTTTGGCACGTGTGCTTCCTTTTAACATTCCCCCTCCGCGTCGTGGAATAGGTCACAGCGTACCCCGGAGGGTGTCACTGTGCTAACAGCTCCCGGTGAGTCTCAGGGCAGGTGTTTCACGGGGCCTTCTCTAATTGGCCGGGACTTCCTGGGCACATCTGTTAGCCAACCTGAGGAGCTGCTTGACATAACTCACTGAAAAGCTGCTTTTGACCGCCATTTACTTTTAAATAAAAGTGTAAGTGACTAAAGTAACAGCCAAGCACACTAAATAGTCAATCTAGCCATTTAAAGCTCTGATCGAGGCTGATAGTGTACTATGGTGGTTAATGTGTGGGTGACATGAGAATTTGCCGGCCTTCGCTCTAATCCTGAGCTTGTCTGGGCTGATGTCTAAGGAAGTTGAAAGGTCCCTTGGTGTCATACATGGCTGCACGCCGGGTCCAGAGACGCTGCAGCTGCAGTGGTGGACATCACTGCCCTTCCCCTAGCTCCTCTTCCTTTAGCCACAAGGCTGATGTTGTCTGCATTTCCAGGTTCAAATTCTCAAAGAAGGCATCTCATTGAGACCCCATATCTGTTATGCCTGTCAGACTCAGCATTTTACACCAGCTGCTCATAAGCTGCTGGCCAGTCCTTGGATTCGTTGTCCTGAGGTCAGGTGCCCCCCTGTGGGCCAGGTGGGTGTGACTCTGGAAGGGGAGGTGGTCAGAAGACTGGACTGTTAGCGGTCCCCAGCCCTCCCGGCAGCTTCTCATAGAAGGCGCTCTGGGTAAGGTAGGTGCTGTGATTCACTCCTCAGCCCTAAGGACCCAGTGTCAGATTATGTCGTACATTGTAGCCGGTGGTGGTTTCTCTCGGGAGGTGAGGGAGGTGACAGACCCTGTCAGAATCCCTGGGGAAGTGGAGCAAGGGGGTTGTCCTAGTCAGCTCGGGTTGCCATAACAAAATTCCATAGGCTAGACGGATTAAACTACAGACACTTATTTTATCACAGTTCTAGAGGCTAGAAGTCCATGGTCAAGGTGCCATCCAGCCTGGTTTCTGGTGCAGGCTCTCTCGTTGGTTTGCAGGCGACAGCCTTCTCAGTGTCCTCACCTGGCCTCTCGGTGCTCATGCAGGGAGGGAGGCACCCCCGCACGTCTTTCTCTTCTTAGGACACCAGTCCTGTGGATTAGGGCCACAGCCTTACGACCCCATTTAACCATTACTACCTCCGTGTGGTCCCTGTCTCCAAATATGGTACTATTGAGGTTAGGGCTTCAGCATATACATTTTGGGAGGATATAATTCAGTCCATCCCAGGGACACAAGAGTATTTGCAAAACAAATCACAGTGCTTGTTGTGATATGAAAGTTCAACAAAAGTGAAATAATGGGGGTATGACTTTTTTTTAAGGTTCTCAAACAGAAACAAAATTGAAGAAAATTGAGAAACTATTTTAGTACCAGAAAGACAGCTCCTGCCATCAAGAGGCCACAGTGTTCCAGTCTTCTTAAGAACAAACATTCCCCAGGGTGGCCGGGGCAGCGCCTGGCTCGACATTAGTACTGAATTAATACATTCTACTTAGGAAATCTCTAATGAGGTTTTGGTGAGGGCACAGAATGTCAAGATTCTTTAAAAAAATACAAAAGTAAGAAAGTGGTGGTTGTGCTTTGGAAGTGCAGTCAATGCAGGAAGGCTTCGTGTTAGAGAGTTACGATGTGGAAGGGATGCAGTCAGTGATGCTCCCACGGGCCACGCCTGAGACCCGGAGCGGGGTAAATGAGGGCAGTCTGGTAGAGAGGCGGCATCTTGGCCTTGGCCCTAGGGCAGTGGAAAGGCATCACGAAGCCTTTGGGATGGTCGAGGCTGGTTAAGGAGATGTGGACAGCAGTGGAGTAACGTGGATGTCTGTGACCAAGGTCACGGAGGAAACTGGCAGGGTTGTCTTGTTTTCCTCTGCCCCAGGTAAGGCATTGCGAATCAGCTCCTCTGAGACTGGAGAGAGCCTTGGGATACTTCTCGGCACAGCAGGCCGCATGCTGGTCACCATGAAGCCCGACCATTTTGCCACCCCAGGCCTAGAAAGCACTGTGCTGCCCTGGCTTCTTTTCGCTGTCTTTGCTGAAGTTCTCCTAATGACGGACCCCAGAACTTGCCATGAATGAATGACAACCATGAGCACGTTGCTGGCGATTCCTGTTAGAAATGAGTTAGCTGTGGACATAACTAGGTATTTTGGTACCACGTCAAATCCTAAGGGCCAAACTTCCGTCTCTGCAGCTCCAAGTTCTAGAACAAAATTGTGTCCAGCTCTAATTTCCAGCCCAGTCCAGTGTGGGAGAGTTTCTGTGGGGAGTTTGTAGGGTGCTGAAGGCTTCTCACCATGTAACACCAAGGCCCCCCATGGCAGGAGCACTCTGCTGAGAGCGCCAGCCCATCTCCCCTGATTCGCCTGCCCTTTCCTGTTATGCCCATGGTCCAGCTGAGTTACGCGCGCTGCCCTCACCATGGTGACAAGTAATACACGGTAAAAAATATGGGTGAGAAAAGCATGGTGGCTGCTATGTCTAATTTCAAGGGGTTGCAGTAAAAAGTAATTCTTTTAAGTAAACTCCAGAAAGGTGACTTTTCTCCCCAACTTTTGCAATTTGTTTTCTAGACAACTAGGACTGGACCTGGTGCCCAGGAAAGAGTATGCAATGGTGGACCCAGAGGACATCAGCGTCACCGAGCTCTACCGATTGGTGGGTACAGGAAACGGTGCTCAGCCTCGCTGCTCATGTTGTGGTTTCCGTGGCGCTATTCATATTTGCTTGATTTTGGAAGAACAGGATATTCCAGAACTAATTTGGAGCGAGTAAAGAGAATTGGGAGCTGAGGGAACCGTGCCCTGAGGATGGAACTGAGGCAGTTTACCTGTCTCGGGGCGACATGATGTTCCCCACTTAGCCCTCAACTCCCAGGCACCGGGAAGTAGATCCAAAGAAGTCTTAAATTCGCTTGCAAATCTTTGGACGTTTTGCCGAGTGTGGTGAAATGCGTACAAGTCACGCACATTTGCCAGTTGGTTTCAGGACCGTGCTGTGACTAATGGTGTCCAGTCCGTGCTCACCAGCATGCGAGCCCCCGCCCGGCCCCCGTCGTCCCTACATGTACCCACGCCCGAAGGTGTCTGCTTGGTCTCCAGCCGCTGGCCCTGCCCCCCGCCCCCAGCCCCTGTCCATTCCTAAGTGCTGGAGCCTGGGACTTATCCTGAAATACTTGATCAGCTCGCCCATCACGGCGTCACCTGCGACGTGTTTTTTTCTATTTGCATGGTAGGTTAAAGTCCAGTTGTTTGTTTGGCATCTAGGTTCCCCAAATCTGGTCCAATCTGCCTTGTATTTCTTAATACTTGTATAAAATTCACCTAATCTCTTGATAGCAACTAAGTTCTCTAAAACCCCAAATCAGAGAAGAAGGTGGCTGGGAAGGGCTTTCAAAGGCCACTCCCCAGCAGAGATTTTACTCTGCTCTGGTTACTTCTCCATCTTAGCGTAATGTCCCAGGAGGAGCGCTTGTGCTAAGCAGTGGACTCCTTTTCAGAAGACCCTGCCTCTTTTTGGGAACCTTTCCAAGCCTACAGTGATTTTCATAGACCAGTGGGATATTCTTGCCCTGAGATTATTTGTATCTGAAAAATATCAGGGAAAATCATCAGTAAGTCCATCGGAATTCTGTCTGATTCGGGGAAGCCGTTCTTAGCACCGCTTTCAGTGTTTTTCCTTAATCACTGATTTGTTCAGATTGTCTACACCTCATTGTAGCTGTTGAAATAAATTCTGTTTTTTGGAGGACCTCTTTACCCTGAGCTTCCGCAGAGGGATGTTTTGTGCCACCTGCCTCTATGGCAGCAGTGGTACTGGGCGAGTGTCTAGCATTTCGTGAGGACACAGTTCACATCAGCTGTGGGGAGACAGGGAAGGCAGAAGGGGTAAACCGAGAGGATTCCAAGTTAAAGTCCTCACTGCTGCTTAGTCTTTATAACAAATCAAACCTGTATAATTTATTTGTCGGTCATGTGCTCTCATGGGACATGTTTATTTTCGAGTATCATATTTTGTCCCTCACTTTTAAAAACTCTCTCGCTTAATTTGAAGTTTCTTTGCTTTAGAGGAAGCGCTGTCTCTTATACTTCTTCTGTTATGCCCAGGTCATCCTGGACGGTCCTTGGCACTTAGTAAGCAGCCAGCGTTTTTGAGGTCATTCTAGTGTTAGGGGAAGACCATGGGGTACAGGTCCAAGCAATGAGATTCGACTTCCATCTCTTTCTTTTACCAGCTCTGGGATCCTGCACCATCGCTTAATCTCTCAGAGCCTCAGCTTCTTCATCTGTGAAGTAATTTTATCTCTGTTCTTTTCAGTTAATGTCATATGTGTGGTGGCATATTGACTGCATCTTTCAACATTCCAATTTGTTAGTGGTACTGGGAGCGCCACGTTGATAAGATTTGAGGGTCTCATCTGAGTTGTGACTGATGGGCAATGACTACTATTGGTGGGACAGAACTCCTATTAATTAACAATGACTGCCATGGGAGGTTGTTTTGTTTTTTGTTCGTTTTTTAAGTATTTTACAGCTCAAATTTTAGTCTATAGTCTTCATTTTACAGATGGAGAAATAAAACGT